AAGAAGGTAATTTATTTTGACTCAGTTTCTTCAGTACACATAGGCCTATTCAGATGATCTATTTCTTATGTGAGTTTTGGCAGATTGAATCTTTCAAAGAATTGATTCATTTCATCTGTATTTTTGAATTTGTAGACAGAGAGCTGTTCATAATTTTACTTTATTTGCCTTTTAATATCCATAAGATCTGCACTGATGTTCCCTTTTGTATTTCTGGTATTAGTAATTTGTATTTTTCCTTTTTTTCTTAGCCTGGACAGAGGCTTATTGATTTTATTGATCTTTTCAAAGAACCAGCTTTGTTTCATTGACTTTCTCTGTTGATTTTCTGTTTTTGATTTCATTGATTTCTGTTCTAGTTTTTTTTTAATTTAGATTTAATTTGCTCTCCTTTTTCTAGTTTTCTAAGATTGAAGCTTATATTACAGAATTTAGATCTTTTATTTTGTAATATATGCATTCAGCATGTTAAATTTTTCCCTTTGAAGTGCTTTTGCTGCAGCTCACAAATTTTGATGTTGTATTTTTATTTTCATTTACTTGAAAATACTTTAAAATTTCTCTTGAGATTTCTCCTTTTTTTTATTTTAAAAAAAGATTTTATTTATTTATTCATGAGAGACACAGAGAGAGATGTAGAGGCATAGGCAGAGAGAGAAGCAGGCTCTATGCAAGAAGTCTGATGTGGGACTTGATCCCGGGAATCCAGGATCATGCCCTGAGCCAAAGTCAGATGCTCAACCACTGAGCCACCCAGGGGTCCCGAGATTTCTTCTTTTACTATGTTATTTAGAAGTTGTTTAATCTTTTAAGTATTTTAAGATTTTCTAGCTGTCTTTCTGTTAACTGATTTCTGATTTAATTCCTGTATGGTCTGAGAGCAGACATTGTATGATTTCTAATCCTTTAAATTTGGGTTGTTTTTTATGTTTGTTTGTTTTGTTTTTTATTTTGTTCTGGTCCCAGAATGTGGTCTATCTTGGTAAATGTTCCATATGAGCTTGAGAAGAATATGTATTTCGCTCTTTTTGGATGAAGTAGTCTACAAATGTCAGTTATATCCAATTGATTGATGGTATTCTTGAGTTCAGCTGCGTCCTTATTGATTCTCTACTTAATGGATCTGTCCTTTTCTGATAGGAGATGTTGAAGTTTCCAACTATAATAGTGGATTTGTCTGTTTCTCCTTGCTGTTTTTATTTTTTTAAGATTTTATTTATTTATTCATGAAAGACATACACACACACACAGAGAGAGAGAGAGGGAGAGAGAGAGGCAAAGACATAGGCAGAGGGAGAAGCAGGCTCCATGCAGGAAGCCTGATGTGGGACTCGATCCCAGAACTCCAGGATCATGGCCTGGGCCAAAGGCAGATGCTCAACCGCTGAGCCACACAGGCATCCTTCTCCTTGCTGTTGTATTATATTTGCTTCATATAATTCAGCTCTCTTACAAGGCACGTACACATCAGAATTGCTATATCTTCATGAAGGATTGACTCCTTTATCACTTTGTAATGCCCTTTTTATCCTTGATAATTTGTTTTGAAGTCTGCTCTGACTGAAATTCATATAGGTATTCCAGCTTTGTTTTGATTAGTGTTAGCATAGAATATCTTTCTCCCCTGCTTTATTTTTAATTTATATGTGATCTTATACTAAGTGAATTTCTGTAGACAACATATAAATAATTGGGTTTTGGCTTTTTATCCACTCTGCCAATCTCTGTCTTTTAATTGATATATTTACTCCTCTGACATTGAAAGTGGCTATTGATATAATTGGTTTAATAGCTACCTTATTTGTTAATATTTTCTATTTGTTGCTCTTATTCTTTGTTCTGATCTTTTTCTTTGGCCATCATTTCTTCAGATAATTTTTTTTCAGGTAATTTTTTTCTGTCATTCTTCATTCTCCCTCCTCCTCCTCCTCCTCTTCCTCCTCCTCCTCTTCTTCTTTCTTCTTTCTTCTTCCTTCTTCTTCTTCTTCTTCCTTATTTAATTAATTAATTAATTAATTAATTTAGGGGCACCTGGATGACTCAGTTAAATGTCTGCCTTTAGCTCAGGTCATGGTTTCAGGGTCCTGGGATTGAGCCCTGCATCAGACTCCCTGCTCAGTGGGGAGTCAGCTTCTCCCTCTTCCTCCACTCCTCCCCCTGCTCGTGCTCTTTCTCTGCCTCTCTCAACTAAATAAAAATCTTAAAAAAAATTATTTATTTGAGAGAGAGCACATGCACACAGGAGCAAGAGAGAGACACAAAGGGAGAGGAGAGAGAAAATCCAAGCAGACTCCACGGTGAACACAGAGCCTGATGCAGGGTGACCTCTGGGATCATGACTTGAGCTGAAACCAAGAGTCAGATGCTTAACTGGCTGAGCCACCCAGGTGCCCTGTGTCATTCTCCTCTTCTGAGAATCAAATTATATTTATGTTAAACTGATCAGTAGTATCTCATAGGTCATTGATGCCCTTTCATTTATCTTAGTCTTTTTTTCTCTGTGTGCTTTATTTTTTGGTAGTTTTTATTTCTGTGTATTCTAATTCACTGATTTTTTTTGCTGCAATGTCTAAAGTGCTGTTTATCTCATTCAGTGTAATTTTTAAATTTCAGATATTACATTTTTCATCCTTAGAAGCCTCATTTTATTTACTTATATATATGAAAGATGTGTATATGTGAAAAAGAGAATGATATATATACATCTTATATATACATATGTGTCATGTATCATATATGTCACATCTTTCATTGCTGTTACTATTTTTCTTATAATATTTTATTTTTAAAAATATTTATTTATTTATTTTAGAGAGAGAGAGAGAGCATGAGCAGGGGAAGGGTCAGAAGGAGAGGGAGAGAAGCAGACTTCCTACTGAGTGCAGAGCCTGATGTGGGGCTCAACCCTATGATCATAGTCTGTGCCGAAACTAAGAGTCAGATGCTTAATTGACTGAGCCATCCAGGTAGTCCTGTGAGATTTTATTTTTAAGTAATCTTTATATCCAACATGGAGCTCAAACTTATTACCCTGAGACCATGAGTCATAAGCTCTACCAACCAAGCCAGCCAGGTGGTACCCCTCTTCTCTGTTACTTCTTGAGTGGATGCTAGATATTGTGAATTTTTTTTTGTTAGGTATCTGATTTTGTTAAATTCTTTTAAATAGTGTTAGACTTTGCTCTAATGACTAGGTAAAGTATTTGGAATAACTTGGATACTTTTGAGGCTTGCTTTTAAGCTATTAAGTGGATCTAGGGCAGCCTTTGATGAACTAATTTGGCTCTACTGTTAAGTTGTTGCTTTCCCAAGGACTCCAACCCATTATCTCATAGTAGGTGCCATTCTAGCTGCTGAGAACACAAAATATCCTCAGCCTTACATGAGGTCTGAGATTTTTCAGCCTATCATTTGCTGGTGCTTGTTTTCTTGCTCTTGGGAAGCTTTCATTCACAAGTGGACAGGCCAGTGCTCAGCTACAGATTTGAAGGAACTCTGCTGCAGATATTTACTTGTTTTCTCTTTGTACAGGTTCTCCTGTTCCAGTATTCTGTCTTACAAATCCTTGTTGCCTGGCTTTCCTAAACTCTAGTCTCTGTCTTCACAACTCAACAAGAGGGAAAACTGAAAACTCTGGTTTCTCTCTGACTGCCCCTTTCCATTCTGGCTTTGAATCTGTTCTAGGTAGTAAGCTAGGGCAATCTTAGGTCTCACCTATTTTGTTTGTCTTTGGGATTGTATCTTGCTCTGTTTTCCAGTGTCAGAAACATTTATTTCCTATTTTTGGTCCTTTTTTAAAAAAATGTATTTATTCATGAGAGACATAGAGAGAGAGGCAGAGACACAGGCAGAGGGAAAAGGAGGTTGCCTGTGGGGAACCTGATGTGGGACTCAATCCTGGATCCTGGGATCACGCCCTGAGCCAAAGGCAGATGTCCAACTGCTGAGCCATCCAGGTGTCCCTATTTTTGGTCCATTTTTATAGTTGTTTAAAGTAGGAAGGCAAACCTTGTCACTGTTACTCCAGAATGTCCAGAAGCAGGAGACCTTCGGCTGACATTTTGCATTTCCAGTATTTTGTTTAAAAGTTAATTTTAATGACATGATGGTTTTCTACCTTTTGGTTTAAATCATTATGAGTGTTGGTACCTTGGTAAGAAGCCTCACTTGCCTATGTAGGAAATCACACACTGCTGGGGACCAGTACTGTTTCCTTCTCTTCTTTGTAATAGAGAAAGTGGTGTCCTAGGCAGAGGTGATAGAGATTTTGCCTGACATGTGGCATCATTTCTTAGAATACACAACAACTTGGCCATTGGTTTTTCTTCCACTGCGTGTGGTTTTAGGCTTATTCTTTAGCTGATGAATTCACCACCTACTCCATTCTTGGGTTGTGAATCCATAGGCTAGAATTCTTTTCTGAGAGCCAAAACTTTGCAACTGCTGAGTTGGTTGGTTTTTTGCCTGGAAAATTGTTAGGGTAAAGTTGATACTTTGATTGGGGAGAGAAAAAGGCAGATTTTCAGATGAAAGCTGTTCCACCCTAAATAGTATAAAAAGGTTTTGGCTTATTATCTAAAGGCATGGGTAGAATTTGATGTATCATGAGAAAGAGAAAGAAGTTCATAAAAAGTAAAACTTAGTGGTGAGTGGGGATCATAAGACTACACGTAAGTAGGATAACCATGTACTCTTCTGGCTAAAGACAATCCACGTTTACACCTGTTGTCCTGGAATAATTAACATCCCCTTTCACTCTTGGAAGTGTCATGGTTTTGATGTCTATACATATACTTTATTTATATATATACAAAGTCATCCCAGTTATAAAGAATGGTTTAAAGAATACAAAGTAGATGTTAATTCCTCAGTTATTGTTGTTCTTGAATGATGGATTTACTGTTTACTTTGTATTTTTGTTGAATAGTTTATAGTGACTAATAAATGTGTGTATGTGTGGTTTTATTTATTTTTTTTAATTTTTCGTATTTTTCCTACAGATGATCTCAATGCCACCCACCAACACTGTGTTTTGGCTGGTTTACCACCTCGGTTTAGTTCCACCCACCGAGTGGCAGAGGTAAGTGTAAATAAAAATGTGATTCAAACTTAATTGGATGTGACAGCAGTGGTTGAATGAGCAATTTTGCATAGAGTTTTGGAAGAGTATTTGATAGGAAAATTGCTTCCATCGAACTTGACTTTAGCCTTTATTTACTTGCTTTTTTAACTTTGAGTTGTGTTGGATACAGTTTTTAAGAGAATATTCATAGCATGGGATAAGTATATTTTGCTTCTTTGGGGTTATGTTTCTTGGAGAAGGTAAAATGCTATTGGCAGATATTGCTAGTTAGATTTTCTAAGGGGTTTATATCTGTCAAGGTCAAGGACAGGAGATGACCAGAAGCAGATGGGGGGGATTTGTGCGCTTGTGCATATGCTAGCTATGACCCGGCTCTGATGGTTGAGAATTTACATTTCTCTAAACTTTTTGGTCAGGCTTCTGATCATATGTGAATATAAATTAAGGAGAGAGTTACAGTGGTGCCAGGGAATTTCTGAGCTTCCCTGTTGTGTCCATAAACCAGACTTTATTGCTAAATTCTGCTACCACTTGCAGTGTGGCTGATGGTCAGCTGATTAGACCGGTTCAGAGTAGAAAGTTAAGAGGTGGGAAATACTTAACCGTTACCCTGGAGTACTGTGTGATTGGTTAAGGAGGGTTCCAGACAGCAGGGGGATAATCATGAAAAGGACTGCAGGTTGACCTTGAATCCAAACTTGTTATCTATGCTTTGCTTTGTAGATTGACTTTTCATTATACCACAGGGAGGACCGAGGTGGGAAGTTGAACAGAAGGGATAGTATAAAGTGGCAGGAAGCACAAGCACAAGACCTTCTCAGTCTGAGTCTATAAGGCAGTGGCATGTCTTTCGGGAATTAAATAGCTTTTCTCGTGGTCTGGTCATGTTGCTGTGGGGTAGAGAGGGCATGAGTGTCTACTAAATTAAGATGCCATCAAGCCCATGAACCACTCCTTTGTCCCCTTCCCCTTTTCTCCCTTGCCCCTTCTCTTCCATTTGCTCTTCTCCTTTTCTCCCTTGCCCTTCTCTTCCATTTGCTCATCTAAATACTTGAGTCCCTGTGACATGTTTAGCCGCATAACGGGCTTGAGAGAGAGAGCCGTCAACATCATCAATGTGACATCTGTGGACACTACCTTTGTTGAACCTTCCATTTTAACTGGGGAGCCAGGTACCAAACAAACACACAGATAATGATAAAAGAGACCTGGGAGTAAGTTCTGTTAGTTGAGAAGGAAGGAGTATAAGAATGAATGAATGCATGAATGGACAAACAAATGATTGAATGAACTCTTCATTGGATGCTTTCCCTGTACTGGGCTCTTGGCTGATTCTCAAGCCTGGGTGATTTGGGGATGTCACTGCCATTAGTAGAAATGACCGTTTAAGACATTAGGGGAAGACAGTAGTTCATTCAATTTTAAACAGGCTGAGTTAGAGCTCCCCCATGGAGCGGTCCAGCAGATAAATGCAAACAAGGAACAAAAATTCTCCTCCTTCACCTCCTGCAGTAGACATGCCTATACAGAAGCCACCAAAAGGGGCCCTCCAGAGGACAGTTTGAACGTATCCCTGTGGTCTGGTTTCCTTTTTTCCAGGTGGACCAATTTTATTAGAGTAGCAGTGCTTTCAACATATGCTGAGGTTCAGCATTTTCTGCTTAAGTCACAGCTGTATTTGTGTCTTCTAAGTTTTAGGCAACATCATGGGCACTAATTAACTTTTATATAAAGAAGCAGGTATATGTAGTGATGCTGTTGAGAGAAAAACATTATCTCAAATCTCTGTCTTTTACAGGCTTTGTACCCAAGTTCAGGCTACTAATTAGACACCTCTACTATGAATGATGTGACCATCTTGCTTTCTGTATTATAGATCAGGGTCAGCACACTATGCCCCATGGACTAGCCAACTGTTTTTATAAATAAAATTTTAATTGAAACACAGCCACACGCATTTGAGTCCATATAGTTTATGGCTGCTTTGGAGTTAACAATGGCAAAGCTGAATAGTTGGAACAAGACCTTGGCCAGCAAGCCTGTAAGACTTACTATCTGGTCTTTTAAAAAAAAATGGACTAACTCTGTTTTATGTGATCTTATGTATACAGGCTTTAATAATCAACCAAAAGTAAAAAAAAATTTTTTTTGAAACATCACCATTTTAATGTAACTTTTTATTTCTGTGAAAAGTAAAAAATGATAATGTTCAGTGTCAGTAAAGTTACAGTGCAACAGATACCTTCATATACTTCTAGAAGTTTTTCTAATTGATATACTTTTTGGAAAGCTATATGGGGATATGTATAAAGTACCATAAAAATATCTTTGATCTCATAACACTGTTTGGAAACCAAACCTAGGAAATAATTAAAAAGGAGTACACACACACTCACACATGTATAAAGATGTTTGCTTAGAGTGATTAAGAGTAGCAAAAAGTAAAAAAAAAAAAAAAAGAGTTGTGAAAAGTTAAACAGAACTTTATTGCCTCTAGAGTATACGACTAGTAAATTAATATCGCCCCAGTGAGCAACCACTGAAAATACTTATTTTGAATACTTAACACACAGAGAAAAACAGAATATACACTGATGTGTACATTCTGATTACAGCTGTGTAGACAAAGAATCATGTACATGTACAGTACAATCATGTACATGTACAATAAAAACAAAAAAAAGGTAAGGTGGCAGGATTATGGTTTTTTCTATAAATTTTTATTTCATGTTAAATCATTGTTGTAATAAAAGAGGGAAAAAATTTTTTTCTAACATGAAGGTTACATTATTATTTCCATCCAGAGAGGAGATAGGAAAAATCTATGATTTGAGGGCAGTGGGCAGTGTTGTAGTCCTCACTTATTTTTACTAGAAGTCCTCACTTTTATTTTATGAATGTTTTCTCCTTCATCCAGAATTAACATGGCATGTCTTATCTGTGCCACACAAAATGATTTGTTATTTTCTGTCTCTTCAAAATACCTTAGCAACATATTGTCTTAAGGAAGTGATGTTCTGAATTTCATATTAGTTAAATCAGAGAAGAAATCTATTTAGTTTTTTTATTACATGTGACTAGATTATATCTGATGGCTCTTGACCTTTATTGGATTTTTTTTCTTTCTTGTTGGAACAGAAGAAATCTGTTCTCCTGAATATCTTTTATTAACTTAAATTTTATGTATAATTATATTTTGAATAGGTAGCCACTCAAATGCTTCAAAATGAAAAAAGTACCCAAGAAATAGATAGTTTAATATCTATTTCTTCTAAAGCCAACCAGCTCCTCTTTCCTACTAGCAACCAGTGTTATCAGCTTCTTGTTATCCTTTCTGTGATACTTAGTACATATACAAGCAAATATTTGTTCAATTAAAAACATTTTTTGTACAAGTAGTAGTCTACATACTATTCTGCACTTTTGTTTTAGTAAGGCTTGGTAATAACTACTTAGTAGTAAGTAATTCATACCTTGGAGTAGGCAGTGATTTTTTTTTAAGATATGACACCAAAAGCACAAACAACCAAAGAAAAAATAGATAATTTGGACTTTACCAAAGTGAAAAACCGTTATGCTTTAGGGGCTCCTGGTGCAGTTGGTTGGGTGTCCAACTCTTGGTTTCAGCTCAGGTCATGATCTCAGGGTTGTAAGATTGAGTCTTGTGTTGGGCCATGTGCTCAGCGTGGAATCTGCTGGAGATTCTCTCTCTCCATCTCCCCACCCCACAATGCTCTCTCTCTCTCTTTCTCTCTCTAAAATAAATAAATAGGGGCACCTCAGTGGGACAGTCAGTTAAGTGTCGAACTCCTGGTTTTAGTTTAGGTTGTGATTTCAGGGTTGTGAAATCAAGCCCCGCTTGGGCTTCATGCTCAGCAATGAGTCTGCTTAAGACTCTCTCTGCCCCTCCCCCTGTTCTCTCTTTCTCTGTCTCTAATAGGTAAATAAATCTTTTAAAAAAATGAATCTAAAAAAAAAAAACTATTAGGTTTCAAAATGTTCCATCAAGAAAGTGGAAAGAGAAGTTAGAGAATGTGAGAAAGTATTTTCCCTTCACTTATGTCACAAGGTACTTGTGTGTTTAGAGTATATCAATAACTCTTACAAACTAATAATTAAAAAGATAAATAATCCAGTTTTTTAAATGATAAAAGATCTGAATAGACATGTCTGCAAAGAAGGTGTACAAGTGGCCAATAAGCACACAAAAAGATGTTTGAACATCATTAGTCATCAGGGAGATGCAAATCAAAATCACAGTGAGTTACCACTTCACATCCATTAGAGTAGCTACAGTCAAAATCACAGTAACAAGTATTCGTGAAGATCTGCAGAAATTGGAACCCTCATGCACTGCTGGAGGGAATATAAAATGGTTCAGCCACTTTGGAAAAGAGTCTGATCCTTCCTAAGAATTCTACATAGCATTACTTCATAACTCAGCAGTGCCGTACCTGAGAGAAATGAAAACTTGTACATGAATATTCTTAGCAGCCTGACTCATATTAGGCAAAAGGTGGGAACAAGCCAAAGGTTCATCATATAATGAGTGTAAAACCAAAAGTGGTATATCCATACAATCACATATTACTTAGAGATAAAAGGGAGGGAATTGTCGATACAGGCTTACAACATGGATGAACCTTGAACTACCATGCTCAGTGAAAGAAGCCAGCCATAAAAGATCACCTGTTGTATGATTTTATTTATACGAAAGGTCAAGCATAGCCAGACCAGTGGTCACAGAGAGTAGATTCGTAGTTGTCTGGAGCTGGGAAGCTTGGCGGAAAGAGGCAGGTGACTGCTAAGGGGTACAGTTTGTTTTGGGGAGGTGACAAAAATGTTCTAAAATTAATTGTGGCGATTGTTGCATAACTCTGTGAATATACTAAAAACAAAGAATTTCATGTTTCCAGTGTGTGACTTCTCTGACATGTGAATTATGTCTCAATAAAGTTGTTACCCGCCCCTGCCAAAAAAACAGGCTTCGTTATAGGTTCTGTACAAGAGATAAAACTCTGTACGCCCAGAAAGAAAAGCATCCCCATCCCCTTACTTTTGGCTGCAAGTGCGGCTACACTGTAGTTTATTTAACGAGCCTGCTATTAATGGGGAATTTAGGTTGTTTCCAGTCTTTTGTAATAAATGGCATTGTGATTAGTAACCTCTTACTTGGGTCACTCCATACCTGGGAAAGTAAAGGTGTGAGTAGAGCATGTTTATAGATACAACGTCATTTTAAGAGCGGTTGTAGGAGTGGTTCTGGGACAAAAGTGAGTGGTGATTCAGCTCCACTTTTTGTTTTTTTCTTTGTAGCAGCTTGGAGCTGTTGGGCTCCCAGCACTCTTAGATCTTTATATTAAAATACATATTAGTCAGGCTTCTGTTTTTGGCACCATAACTTTATTTTTCTCAGGCTTATCCATGACACACTGTGTAAAATGGCAGTAACCATACAAATAATTTTTGTACCAGGGCATTAGCCTTCAAGGTTATTTCTAAGGGATCTGCTTAAGTTATAAATATTAAAATAAAAATACTTTGGGGATACATTTTCCTCATTGGGCCTAAAGGATATATTTATAGCCTGCTTTTTATCATTCTAGGAAATCATGTTGCCATTAAAACCAACGGATGCACACTTCCATCTGCATCCTTTTCTTCTCTGACATATAGCATTCAAAGGAGGAGTTGTCCATTTGACCTCTGTTTTGCTCCCACAGACAAAGAGAGGGATGAACTAGTTATCTGTGCCCTTGCCAATACAAAGGTATTAAGTTAGGCCTTTGAAGATGCCTTGAGGGCATGAACTACATAGCCTTCATTATTTGAAGAACCTATCCTGCCAAAGACTGCAACTACTTGGTGTATGGTTTTTGCAGAAAAGGAAAATGAGTTCTTTGCTTGGTGTTTATAACTTCAAATTTTTTCCCTGCCATTACTGTTCTGTTTTGTAGGCTGTTGAACCAATCAGTCTGGTTACCTTTCTTTCCCATTGTTAGGTTCAGGGCACTTATAATAAAGTCAGTGTCTTTGACTTCCTGGCTAATTATTTATTCATCCAAAAACTACCTTACTAAGTTTCTTTTACATTTAGGACTTGGTTCTAGATGCTGTGGTATATGTAGAAAAATATATATAATAAAATGTATGTGTGTGTGTCTGTATGTATGTATATATGTACATTTATGTCTGCATATATGTACATGGCTTTAGCTTCAGGGAGCCTACTGTTTAGGGATATAAGGCCCACATAAGAAAATCAGCAGAAGAGTGGCCCAGGTGAGGCCAAGCTGGCAACACAGAGCCCAGTGAGTAGGCCACTCTAGTAATTCTTAAGTTTGAATATGCACTGAGCTGTGGGGGCAACAGATGAATGTATGGAAAAGGGGCAAATGTGAACATCCTTGGGAAGTAATGTATGATGAACTTGGATTTTGCTTATAATCTCGGTTGCTGGTTCTGTTTCTGCAGTGCTCGACCGGAACCTTGGATTATATTTTACAGCGCTGCCAGCTGGCTCTGCAGAATGTCCGTGATGAGGCAGACAATGGTGATGTTTCTTTGAAATCCTTTGAGCCTGTAGTTCTGAAACAAGGAGAAGAAATCCACAATGAGGTGAGACTTTCAAGAACTGGGAAGCTATGTGCAAGCTAACAAGTTGATCTGCCATAATTTTATATGAGTATGAGCCCTGAAATTCCTCAGTGAGGGACAAAGAGCAGTTTAATTACTTAGAAGAACAGCAGTAGTTGGAGTATCAGCATTTTTGTCCCAGTTCTGCAAGCCTCTCTTTCCACAGGGCAATGCAAAGTGGGCCTATAATGTGGGTACATGGAGGGATTGTGTTATAGGAGAGGAACCTTAGCAAAGGGAAGCTGAATCTTTTATAATAGGTAGTAGGTGATCCTGATCTTTGCTCCAAACAAGATACGGTCTTTATCCTTCAAGTCTGTTAGCATCCTTGCCCTTTTTTCTGGAGGGCAAACTATATCTTCCAGGGTTGTTCACCCTATCAAACATTCTTGCAATAGGAGGCTGAGATAGAGGGAAGTTAGTGCCTTGTTCACAAGACCTGCAGAAACACAGGACTCATGAAGAGTAGTCTTCCTGCAAAGACAAATGGGAGTCATAGGTGGACCATAAGAGCAAGCATCAGTGCCTTGCTTTTTATTTGCAAAGTGAGGTGAAGTTCTGCAGTGTGTCAGAACAGCAGGTCTGGATCCCACCAGCCAGTGTTTCACAAGCTTTGCTATTCTCAGTAACACCCTTTCCACTTTTGCTTTATCTTTGGATTGTACATGTTGTCTATTTAATACATTTAAAAACTGAGCTCATTTTTTTAAAATGTATTTATTATTTGAGAGAGAGAGAGAGAGAGAGAGAGAGAGAGAGAGAGTGGGTGGGGAGAGAGAATCCCAAGTGTATTGTCTACTGAGCGCAGAGACCAACACAGGGCTGGATCCTAAGACCCTGAGGTCATGACCTGAGCCAAACCAAGAGTCAGATGCTTAGCCAACTGAGCCATCCAGGCACCCCATAATTCAGCTTATTTTTTATGTAAATAAATTTCTTTGAAAAGGAAGCTTTGTATTACCAATTCAAGTAAAAGCCATTATCACTAGCCAAAAGAATAAGGAACCAGAAAAATCTCGCCAGTGAAAACAGCAGTGTTACCACCTTCCTGCAGATGCTCTTGCTGGGAGGAGGCTCTGAGCCTGAGGTTTCCATTATCCATGGGAGAAAAAGGGAAATTCACATACAACTCCATACATTTTCTAACAGTCATTGAATTTTATACTTAAAATGGATGAATTTTATTGTAAATTATATCTCAAAACAAAAAAATATTAAAAGAAAAAAGTTATTCAGGTGAGAGAGAACCATTGAAGACTGTCAACAATCTGCGACTTTCTCTTTGCTAGAACTGGAAGGATTGATGGAGAATTTAGAATATAAACATGTTCTCTTTCGTCCTTTCAACAAGTAATGACTGGCTGTGTGCCTGGTACTCTTCTGTGTGCTTTAGGATATACTGGTAAGTAAAACAGTTGTTCTAGTACAGGAAGATGACAAATAATAAATTTAATGCCTCTGTTCATCAGGTTGTGTGTTAGCTAGAGAGAATTGGAAAACGTTCCCACTGACAAGATGTGCCATGAGCAGGGGCTTGAAGGAGATGAGGAGTGAGCTATATGGATATCTGGGGAGTACGAATTTGGGCAGAAGGAGAAGCCACTGCAAAATCTGTGGGAGAATACTTGATGTTTCCAGAGTAGGTGAGGAACTATCTAGTTGGAATGGCATAAGTGGGGCTGTGAGTGACAGGACATGGGTCACAGAGGTGGTATTGGGGACCTGAGAGCAGCAGATCGGATCAGTCCTTGGAGGTCCCTGTAAGGACAACCACTTTCCAGTTGACTCAGAGGGAAATGGGGAGCCATTGAGGAGTTTGGAGCAGAAGAGAAATGGCGCTTCCACAAATGTCATATAATGTCTTCAAATAGATAATTAGATGGGGATCCCTGAGTGGCTCAGTGGTTTAGTGCCTGCCTTCAGCGCGTGGCATGATCCTGGAGTCCCGGGATCAGGTCCCATGTCGGGCTCCCTGCATGGAGCCTGCTTCTCCCTCTGCCTGTGTCTCTGCCTCTCTGTGTCTCTCATGAATAAGTAAATAAAATCTTAAAAAAAAAAAAAACCAAAGAGATATTTAGGATCTTATGAACTGTGCCACACTTAATGAAACATTGCCATAATCTGCAGAACCAAAGGCAAAGAAATTCTTCCTTTTGAGGAAATAATAATCACTTCTGATGCTCATAAGCTGCACTCAGGACTGACTTTCTTCCCTTCCTTGTGCCTGATAAGTATACCATTTTCTCTCCTCCCTGTCCTTACTAGAGACATTGCTGATAGCTAGATCTTCAAGAAAGATAAGCGTTTATGGGTCTAGTGACCTTATTGAATTAGGCTTGGGAGCAAAGTGATGTCTTTTTCCATATTTGTAGTAAAGAAATTCTAATCTGGAAATGTAGTCTTCTCAATAGACCTTGTAATGTTAGGATTTGGGCTAGCAGAATGGGTGCTCTCTGAAATACCCTTGTGGGCTATTTTTGCCTCCCTCGTCCTTCTGGTCTTCTTCTGTGACTGACATGTTTTGTTATCATTCACGAGTGGGGGAAATCTGTAAAATCACCATGTTTATCTAACAATAGAATATTGTCATCTAAACCCATTAGCTTCGGGAAGTGGCTGGCTGCTTTTGACATTGTATACGTTAGCCAGGTGGGATAGAGATGTGTCAGAAACTTTAGCCCCTTTAGACCGGTCTAGGGGTTGAAGGGATAGAGAGAGATCTGGAATCTAAATAGCGTGTGTGCTCATCGTGTCCATTACCCCAGTCTTTGATTCCTCAAGGCCATCCCCTGAGAGAATGAATTCCATATGTCAAGGCATATTGTCAGATACTATTCTTTCGCCATACACGGTGGCCTGGGTTGGAGCGCTGGCATGCTCACTTTCTACCATGTCCCATTGTTAAACAATAGCACACATGTCCATAATAGTTCCCTTGGGTTCCTTATTGTTTGCTTTCTCCTCTTTCTTAAAAGCCATGTGCCTTTGCTGCACCAATTATGGGACGAAGCCTTTGGTTTTATGTACTGCAAGCTTTCAGGCTATGTGGGTGTAGATGTGGCTTGTTTTCCTTAGATGGTTTCTAACTAAAAGAACTTTGGGAATTTTGGGGAATAGAACTGAGTACCTTCAGCAGATATTTTTTCCTAACAAGATGCTTACGATTTTTGTCCAGTTGGAAGCAGAATCTTCTTGCATGTTTTTAAATATTCTGTTTCCCTTTTTAAAACTAGCTTTGGTCTGGCTAGACCTGCATCTTTTAGAGCTACTCTAAAAGGGCCTTCGGGTGTGGCTCTTGGTACATTGGACATCAGCATCTCTCCCTGGTCTAACATCTTGCTCAGTGAAATAACTTATTCCAGTTACTACAGTGAGACATTAACCCCTGTGGGCATGTGCACACTTCTCATGAAGGAATGTGTGAGCTGAGCTGGGACCAAACTGAGAGCCCAAACTAACTTGGCAGAAGAAAAGTAGCTGTCAGTTGTTTACCTGTGAGAAAAGTAGCTGTCAGTTGTTTACCTGTGGCTGGAGATGATTTACAATATATGGTGATGTAGTAGCTCATAAATATGATTTGGAACTTTGCTACTGAATGCCTAAGGTAGGTGGGTTTCTTCCCCTTCAGACTTCCAGACATTTTTAGGAGAACAATTTTCCTTGACTGATCTTTTAGACTGTTCCAGGCAAAAGTTAGTTATGAGGGTTATAAGAGATGGCTTTCCGAGTCACATTTATGAAACTGACACTGCTGTGGACATGTTTTCATATTTCTCTGATGATTCAGATGTCACTTCAAGAACCTGCAAGGCCTCTAGGTTGTCAGTAGGCCCTGGGTAAATAAACACCTGGGGGCACTGCTTACCTTTGTATTGCAGTTGCTTAAAAGATTGAATAGCAGTGAATTTCCTTTAAGGGCATGTTCAAAATCTGGGAGTCTGGTTTAGAAGCATCACAAACTCCTAGGGCACCTCAAGAGAGTTCCTGTGTGTTGTCTCCCTGATGCTCGCATCTTGGGAGATCCGCATCACCTGTGGAGCGTTCTTGGCCTGAAGTCAGCCATTCCCTTCCTGATGGCTTGTCTCTGATTTCTGCTCCAATAGTTATGAGCTTCCTGGGGGAATAGTACCCTGGAGAAGGGATGGAGACCCTACCCCTGTCACATTTAGGACTTTATTGGTCAGTTACCATGGTTGGTCTTTGATTTTCTTTTCTTTTCATTTTTAAATCCCTGAAGAAAATCAGGCTTCCATTCTATTCTGAATCCCGACCCCTCAGCTTTTGTGCAGCATCCGTCCTGCAACTTTTCCTTTCTATTTCCCACAGTTTAGGGAGGAAAAATAAAAACTTTTTTTGCTTATTTAGTTTTTTGTTTTTGGTTGTTTTTGTTTGTTTGTTTTTGTAACTTAAACTCTGAATCAAAGGGCTGAAACTATTTTTTTGCTTCCTTAATTAAGTTTAAGAAAGCAGCCAACGGCTTCTCTTGGCAGTGGGGGAAGTGGTGAGGGTGACATTTGCTTAAAATCCTGTAATGTTTCTTGCCCACAACACTGAAATGAAAAAGTCAGGTTATGGAGTTGAATAAAATGCATGCCAGTGGATTCGATGCCCAGAAAGATCATTATCTCCTGGGCACTACTTCAGCTCATAAAATAAACCTCTGCTGGGATTGAATCCTCAGTGTTGAACTTTACTGACGGGCCTCGGTGGAAGGGGGGTGGGCATGAATTGACAGGGATGTTAAAACTTTTCCTGCCATGAAAATTTTATCAGATTGTGAGATCCTAGGGAGGACAACAAATTCTAGGCCTCATGTCTTGCTGAGTTTGCTTCCTTAGTATCTAGCAAGTGCCCGGCCTATAGTAGGTTGTTCATTATTCACCTGCTAATGAACACCACAAACCTATGTGGTTATTAGGTAATTATCCTTATTTATTGGTGACATAGCTATTTAGTAGTGGGGCCCTTATTCTTCCTCATGGCACTGTCTGGTTCAAATGGTGGCTGGGCATCTGAGGAGGAGGATGAAGTCAGGATTTATTAAAACGGACAAGCTCTTTCTTTGCTTTCCTGTCTGATAGCAGAGTTTCCAGGTATGCCCCTCTCCTACCTTCTGAGTTCTCATTTACTGAAATCTAGACTCATGTATACCTTGATAGGTTGAATGAACTATTTACATAGGGTACTCAATTTTCTTTCCTGGGACACCATTGTGGCTGGTGCTTACATGTTTTATCTTCTGCAATGGAAATAACCAGGCCCAAGATAGGAAGACCTTGTAAAACCTTTTCAGCTCTCCCTGACATAGGGCATGATGCCATGGTGATCGGCTGTGCCTGTCACATGAACCAGTTTCACGAAAAATCTCTTAAAAACATCTTCTCTTGTAATAAATAAAGTTCAGCCTGTATCTTCAGAGAAGTTGAACTACACTTACATTCGCTCTCCCTTCAAAGTAGTCACATTTACTTCTGTTAAGAACTGTCTCTTAATACCACAGATAAGGTTCAGCAGCTATTGTCTTAATATTGTCTACATTCCTCATTTTTTTTTTTTGTTTAAACAGCTTTGACTGAAATCAGTTCTACATATCAAACAAACATTTAGTTAATGTAAACTAAAACCCTTTCATATGACTGGGTGTTCTCAGGCTAGTTATTTGAGCCATTTTCACCATTGTTAAGTCTTCACAAGTTGCTTTTGTTTGCCTCATGAAAGTTCAATATGGATAAACACAAAAATTCTTTGTGGTAACAGGTAAAGGTTATAATAGTTTGTCTGTGTAGGGAACCCGATTACCTCAGCAAAGTCAGGTGACCCAACATTAAGCTGTGAAAGCTCTACATTTCTTTAGAGGATAGAGGTAAAAAGACCTTGCAGGATGAATAGTGTTGTACTTTAACAGTAAAATTGGATTTTTTCAAATTGAAGATGAGTTTTAAGGATTTGGAAAGTGAACAAAAAACAGTTTCTTACCCTTCCAGAGCTTTTACCTCAGCCTATCCCTTACATACACTGGAATTATTTCAGTTGCACGGGACAGAAAACTCAGCCTGAATTGGCTTAAATAGGAAAGACTTTAGGAACAGCTTGATCAAGAGCCAGGTGGTGTCGGCAGCACCTGGTTTTTATCTTTTTATCTTGCAGTTGCTTCTTACTGTGTTGTCTCCATTTTCCCCATTCGGTAGCAGAATGGTTGTTGAATACTCTTCCTGAATCTTCTAGGTCCCCAGACTTACTGTGATTGAACGAACAGTGATTGCCCGCATACCCAATTCTGTGACTAGGGAAATGTGGTGGGCTGATTGGCTGACATTTGGATTGCACACTCTACCCCTGATACTAGGACTGGCACTCTCTCCTCAGACCTCATGGACTAGGGCCAGGGAAGGGGGTCAGTTACCAGATGAACAGTGGAATTTTGCTAGAATAGGAGGAATGCTAAAGGGACAAATGATAACCATAATAATTACCATGGTAGGTTCATAGGAAGGAAAAGCAATTATTAATGTCTTTGCTGTTTTTTCTACCTATTGTCACATGCCCTGAGTTGAAAAGTAACAATTTGAATGGCTGTAGCTTCTTATTATGTGTCCCCACAATTAACTGTATTGTTTTGTTCTAAGGACTGGGATTCTCACCAGCTCCTCCTGGCCTATGGTAAATTCTTTATTGATTTTAAATCTAAGAAACTTGAAATTGATTATCTCTTAATATGTGTTTCTGTGTTTTGCTCTAAATACTAGCCTTTAATAAAGATGTTTAATAAAAACCTATTTCGATTATATCTTCTCTATCATACATAGTGTAGGCTGCTATATACTTTAGCATCTCAGTATTTGTGTTTTGTTTATCTGTTCTGTAAAATTTATTTTTATTACTTAATTTTTCTTCAGTATCTGTTGATGAATATAGTTTCCTCATGTCTGACTAATAAATGTGTTGGAGGACCCCTCCCCAGCCCAAGCTGGGTTGTCTTGCTAAGAGGACCTCAGTTTTAAGATTATTCTTTTCTTGGCTTTGTAGAAGTGCTCCAGAGACTCCAGGTTATATTGGAAACTGGTTAGGCTGAGCTTTTCTCACCCCTTCTCCCCTTATAGCAGTGAAGTTACTGGAGGAGAATCGAGTGACAACATTATTGTCTTTGTCCCTCACAAAGGGCATTATTATTGTCTTTGTCCCTCACAAAAGGGCATTATGACAGCTGCCTTCTCCTTATGGTCCACAGGTTGAGTTCGAGTGGCTGAGACAGTATTGGTTTCAAGGCAATCGATACAGAAAATGCACTGATTGGTGGTGTCAACCCATGACTCAACTGGAAGGACTGTGGAAGAAGATGGAAGGTGTGGTAAGTACATGAGGTCTCTGGCCATATTTTCTGGGGTGCTGTGCTGTGTGACTCCTCTACTGCCTAATTCGCATACACAAATACATAATTCATTATTCAAAATTATTGAGTCAGGTAACACTTTGTAAGGAACGGCTCCGATTTTGTCAGTACAAGCTCAATTCAGAAGGGTGAGCATTTGGTCAGGTATTTTCAACAGACAAGACACCATGCTGGACACATACTAGGAAGCGATGAGGAGGGAAGAAGAGTGCAGCAATAAGAGTTAAAATTCATTTGCATTTTCAGATGCACCAAGCACTGGTCTAAGGATTTTCCCTGTATTGATTTCTAAAATTCATACAACACTCCTACAAGGTGTAGAAACTCTTATGAGTCTTAAGTTATAGATGTGAAAACTGAGACATTGAGAAATTAAGTGCCTCACCCAAGGTCACAGCGTAAGCAGCTGAGCAAGATCGAGACCCAGGCCTTCTGGCTCATGCTCTTAACCACTACATTCAGTTTAACAAGCAGAGAGACATGAATGTAGCCAGGTATTACATTAGTTAAAATGAAAGCCTGTGATAGAGATTTTTTTTTTAAAAAAAATCACAGTCCAGAGGAGGGAATATTAAATTTGGACCACTGGACCTGGACTGCTGTGGACCAGCAGATGTGGCTTTTGGGGACTTTGGATGGGGAGGTATGTATAGGGTCAGATAGGGCATTTGGAGAGAAACATCAGGCTCTAGGAAGTACACAAACAAGAGTGGAAGCGGGGAGGGACAGGGTGCTCAAAGCTAGGAGTCAGGGGATATAGTGGGAAGTATAGCTGGAAGGCGAGTGGAGGCACTTGCAAGTTTTGAATTAAGTCTTAATTTAAATAGTAGTAACAATAGCAGACTCTTATATGATACTTATTAAGTACCAGGCACTATTCTGAATGTTTTATATATAACTTATTTAACTTTTATGACAACCCCATAAAGTGTAGGTATGATGGTTCTCTATTTCATAAACCAGGAGACTGAACCACAAAAGGTTTACATAACTTCCTTAAGATCACACAGTCCCTAAAGTGAGGGAACTGGGATTTGAACTCAGTAAGGCTGGCCCTAGGGTCATGCCCTTCACTCCCTCCCTCTTCTGCCTCCAAACCATTGGCTTTGGAATGTCATGGGAAACTGATAAAAGCCTGCCACACTCTAGAAGTGGTATTACTGCACAGACTTTTAAATATCCTGGAAACAGTGAACTGAGCAGCAAAAATGTGTAGCTGTTGCTCAGCCCAATTTTATGATAATGAAAAGATCAAGTCAGAACTGTGAAGGGGTCTTAGTTTGAAAATCTAGGTCAGAATCCGGAAGTCCTTGCTTTCCAGACATCTCCTCAGATCTTTAGATCATGCCCTTTTCATATATATCTGAGGAAGGAATGTTATAATCCTTCTTTTATTGTACTAATAGTATCACAAAAATGGATCCCTCCAAAGACCTGAGCCTCAGTATAAAACTGAACATTGTAAAACTGAGTCAGAGGTAATGAAAAGTCCATGCCTTAATCTCCGTAGCCCCATTCCTAAAATTAGCCTGTGTGGAGTATGCTCCATTTTTATGGGATGTATATATAAAAGCAGCTTGAGTTTCAGGAACTTTTTTTTACTGTGTTATTCTGGTTTTGTCCATTTACATATGAGTTAGAAGAACCTTTATTTAGCAGGCTTTGACTCCTTAAAACATCGGATTGACTTTGGCATTGTAATTTGGCAACTCCACAAGTTAGCATTGACAAATAAATAATAAAGGAACTCATTGATTATGCAAACAAATAAATGAAAATAAAAAAAATAAAATTCTTTGCATTGCTTTTGTTCAAGGTTTTGTTTGTGTGTGTTTTTTTTTTCCTTCTAAAGAGTAGTCTTGGGTATTATGAGCTTACTGATTATATTCATTATGAATTCATTTGAAATATGTAGTTATAATTTTTAAGAAGTCAGGCCATGGCACATTAGTTAGACGGAATATCTTCTGTTTACTTTATGACTCTTGTATAAAAAATACCAGGAAGAAGAGTGATCTTGGGAATTCTCCAGAGCCAGTTTCCTTGCAGTTGGTGTGGCATTACTGAGTGTTCTGAGTGAAATCAATGGCCCCAGTGTCTCTCCTCAGCAAGCCTCAGGGTGATCATTATCAACAGAGTGAAGGTTTGGTCCAAGATAAAAGGGATGATACTTCTAAATTAAATTTAAGCATGGCTTCAAGCCTCTTTAAATGACTTTTAACAAATTCATAATGATTTATTTTTGCTATTGGAAGAGACAGAAGATAATAATCATCGAGAGAGTCCATGGTTCTGTGGCTCTGTTAGTACAGTGCCATCTGGTATTTGTATACTAGGGGTGGGGCATGGGGGGACTGGCTGGCACTGGCCCTTTCGAATTCCAGCTTTTGTACCAGCCCACCTCATATGTTTGCAGTTGTAAGCAGTAGGGGGCAATGTTGAGCTACCAGTTTGAGGCCTCCAGATGCTGGCCTTTCAGGAAAATGTACACAAATGTACCATTAACTGTCAAGAATTATCCCTGTTGCTTCAAGTTAGCTGTAATCTCCAAGATTCCATAACACAGGAAATCAGTTGTGGGTTAACAAATTCAACAGCAATTTAACATAAAAAGTGCAGTGTTTGGTGCACATTTGGATTCTATAGATTTAGACTAATCTGAACGGCATTTCTGAATGTACTTGCTTTGCTTCCAGGGAATATATTACTCAAAATTATGATCCTTTTAGACAAATGATTCTTCTTTATCTCTGTGCTTTTTTTTAAATTTAAAATCAGGTGTGTATTAAGACTTCCCTAATTAATGTATTTTGTCTGTTGTGCACCATCTTATGGATCTCTTGCAGTCGAAACAAAACAAAACAAAACACCTCAGGCAATATGTACATTACTTTTCACCTTTTGCTTATGAGTAAAGCAACCTTTGATGGCCCTCACACCAGGGAAGAGACTTGCGTTGTGATTTCTCTCTGTTCTTTTTTTTCCACTTTGTGGTTGGAAGGTGTAGTCTCAGGTTGAATACAGAAGAATGGAAAATGAGCTTTGAAATCACGTTTCTTCCCTTAATGGTAATTGCTTCTTCACATGTCATAACCAGTCACATATTTCAGAAACTTTAGGCCACTGCCTCTAAAACTGACCCAGCCTCTACTTCCCATTCTCTGTTCCAGCAAGCGCTGTTTTTTATCACACTGTTTATTCTTGCCACTTTACCCCCTGAGGATAGTTTTACTCTCTGCTTGCTCTTGTGATGTAAATGTTAAACCCTATATTTGAATGACATTCTGATAAAATATCACATTTTCCCTGAATATTACCTCATGAATTTATGAGCCATCAAGCCCAAAGCAACACAACCCATTCTTAAACCCAAGAATTTAGCCTTGCCTTCTCATTTCATCTGTGCTCCCTATGCAGGATGGTATGCTATTCAGATATTTGTATTTTATTTTATTTTCTTAAACCAACCCACCACTTCACAACGAAGATTAGTGTATTATGAGGAGACTCTTCAGGATAAGAGAGAGTTACCATTTGAAAGAAACTGTACAAGCTTTGCTTTCTGGGTAAAGAGAAGTCTGAAAAGCCGAAGTCTCCTGTGAGGTGAGGAAGTCTTGCCGTAGCCAGATTCAATGGATAGGCCATTTGTCTCTCAGGGTCTGGTATCGCACTTTGCAAAACTGACATTTATTTTACCTATAAAAATGTTTTAACACTATCAACTTCACAGTGATACAGAAAAGAATGCTAGGTGTGGTGTCCTCTAAATTGATGACATTTATTCATTTTCCCCTGACCTTAAAAAACAAAAGGTCAATTTAGTATAATCCCATGGAAATACTCTAGAATAATTTCCAGAGTGAATATTTTCAGAAGTACTGATTATTGATACACTGGAGAGAAATTTCCTCATGCCTCTTTAAAAAAAATTTTTTTTTTATTCCTTCTTTCTTATAGAAGAGGAGAGTAGAATCCTGATCATCTTGAATTGCATTTCCTGTCTTGACAGTTTTTAGCACCCAGATAGCAGTGCGTTTATATGGCAGTTGGCCTTAATAACCTTTATTGACTTTAGTGGGAAGGAGCCAAGACTGGATCATTTTAATGTATCCGTTTTGAAACAGTGTAAAACACAACATATAATTATGTTGGGTAAGCTATAGGCTACATTAAATTCTACCCATTTATGTTAAAATTTGGCCCAGGAGAGCAGAGAGACGTGGAAAATGAGTAGGTGTTTTATTTAATTCTGTTACCAGTTTCTTATTGTTAAAAGTTTTAAGAGAGCAAAGTACTTACGACTGTAAAGGTTGTCCTTTACAAGTTAGTTATAATAGTTTAATTTCAAGATGAGTCATGCGTTTTTCCTTGTCATTTTGGCCTGTGTAAATCATCTGGGAGAACTCATGCCAAGAGCCTGTCCACTGCTGTCTGGTGGAGCCTTTCTTAGTATAGGTTACACAGGCACAAGCAGTGATTAAGCTGAGGAGCAGTTTGTTTGTTTTTGGAGAGATTAATGAAGCTATCATCACAGTGCCTTAGATTAAATTCTTTGTAACCGAATAGAGGAACAAGGCTGCCTTTTAATGCACTGAAGTATATACTGAGTATACCAGTATCTACTATTCTATTTGAATTCAATTAGCTAAATTCATTTTTATCTTTATTCTAGGATTGAAGATTTTTGGGGGGTATGAGGAAGAAGGTGATATAAATAGTAATTTTTTGCCTGTGTTAATAGTGAAGCCACCGACTTATATTTATATATATGTGTGTGTGTGTGTTGTAAGTATGTATGTGTATATATAAATATCTTTCCTTAAATGTTAACTGTATATACTCAATTATATTTGCAAACATAATCCTTTCTTCCATTTTTTGGAATTAGCATCTCTGATACAAGAGCAGAGTATATTGTAGTAAAACTTAGGATTTGATGTGAGATGTCTGATGGTTTC